GAAAATTTTATTTTCTTGGATTTTTTTAACATGTTCCAAGATCATTATTAAGAGTTAAAATGTTCAGCATTAAAAATGCAAAAAGCAAAAGAGGGAAAATCCGAAACGATTTTACGGAAAACGTTCGTTTTAAATCAGAATTCGGTTCCGTAAATTGGAGAATTTTCATTAAGTCTCGAATTTAATCATTGAGATCACATTAGGATCAGAAGAGGAGCCTTTCTAAGTATTGACTATAGGTTGGAGAAGTTTACAAGTTAAGAATTTATTATCTATATTTATTTTTACAAGTTTGTATTGTTTAATTTGTTAATTTCTTCACTCAATGTTCTTGTCTAAAAAATTTTGCCCACAAATAGAGGCCTTGATTTCAGTGATTTTCATCAAAGAAGAATTATCAAAAGTTATATTGTTCATTAGAGAGAATAAGTTATAGAAAAAAAAAAAATTGTGAAGTGAAGAAATTGGGAAGGGAGGAAGAATCAATTTTCTAGCAAGAAGAAAGTAATATCCTCATCCTAATTTTATACTTTATAGATGAGATTAAATAGTTATTAGTATATACTAATGACTTAGAAGTGAGTTTATAATCAAAGTAATAAATACAAGAAGTTAAAGTTGTCTTAAGATTATTTGTATGATAGATGTACTCGGTTTTAATGAGATTCTTATAATGATAAGAATAAACCAGTAAAGTATTATTTAAATGAGTAATTCTTATGTAAATAAGGAGTACATATGAAAAAGAATCATGTCATTTGACATAGTATAGCTTGAGTTATAGATTTTTGAAGTTAAGCATGCAAGTTGAATTTTATGTTCTTTATTTCAGCTGTGACTTTAAAATTCTAATAACTCGATATATATGCATGATAAAATTATGAAATTTTTACGACATGCTTATATATGGGTTAAGAACATGACTGCCAAATTTCATGATATTATGTTGAGAAATGAACGAGTTAAAATATTTATATGACATACATGTCAAGATGATTTTATATGCAAGAGTATTCAGTACATGGTTGAGTTTTTAAAGTGAAATTTTTAGGAAAACTTCTTATATGAGTGAGAGCAATTTGACCCAGTTTAAGCTCAATATGTTGAGTATGTGATTTTATAAAATTGTTTCAAGTCTAGTATATCAATATCATAATTTATTGTTATGATAAAAACTTGTATTGAATGAGCATCAAGTTTGAGATTTTAATACCAAGCAAGTTTAAGACAAGTTTGATAGATTAAAAATCCTTATAAATCATATAGATATATGATGTTGGTAAAAGTTGAAATTGTTTTGATATACTCGGTTATCTATTATGTGAAATTTAGCTTATTTTCACTTCCGAGTCATTCTAAGTTTCATATGAGTAAAACAATATTCAAGACTTGGAGTTATGATTTATATGTGAAAGTACTCAGTTTTAAGTAAAAGTTAAGAAGAGTTTAAGCTTAATAGTTTTAATTTGGATTTTAGTGAATTTTTAGAGTGTTCATTAAAATCCGGATAAGTGAAAGAATCAAGTATTCAAGCATCTTATTGAGTATATGAGCATAGTACTTAGTATATTGATTTATATTTTTATGTAGCTTGAAGATTCAGATATATCATTCAGCACTTACGTGTTTTCAAAAGAAAAAAGGTGGGGACCCAGCCTGGGTATTACATGACTGTAATATGATATTATGTCCGAGGTATGTATACAGTTTATACGCTTGGGATGAAGGCTTCTAGTTGCCTTAACAAGTACATCCTAAGTTCTGATGGAGGCCATTAGTTGCCTTAGAAATATCCATCAGAGTGTGCACACATGTCCGATCTGATATCGGCCAGATTACAGATTCAGTTTCAGTTACTGGAACAGATTTCCAGTCCAGATATATACCAACGATTATGATATTGTATTATTATTGTTGTTTACTTTAGTATGGGTTATTTTGGGGTACAAAAGGACCAGTACTCACCCCCATTGTGTTTTTCAGGTAACAAGGTCGGGCCAGAGGTGTGAGCTCGGATGTGGTGGTGATGGTCGTGCACTTGTGGACATTTAATTTATGAACTACTATGTCTGTATAATTATTCATGTTTTTAAGTATTTCCGCTACGCATATCAAGACTTGAACTTGCATGTTATTAAATATCATATTTCAGACTTTAATTATTTCATTAGTATGAATATGGTTCAGTTTACATGCGAGTTTAAATAAATCTGTTTTCTTTATGTCTAAACCAGTAAGTTAGACAAAGTTTAATGATAAATGGATTTTAGAAAAGATAAGTTAGTAGCATCCCGAGTAAGAGCAAAAATATTTCGAAAAATTTATAAGTATTTTCGAAGTAAAAGTTGCGAAAAATTTACTCTGATAAGCGGGGTGTTACACGATCTATGGATTCCCAGTCCAGGTCGACTCGGCGAGGGGTCCTATTAGTAGTCGAGCTATTTGTGCCATATCAGTTAGGTGTTCTAACTTTTTCAAGTAATATTTAAAAGATTTTAAGTCTCAAATCCCCAAATTGTGGATCCGTATGATGGATGTGCCATATTACAATAACCAACATACACAGAAAAACTGGATCAAATGAAAAATAAAATACACCACATAAGACTTAACGAAAAAGATGAACTGGCACAAATTACATAGATGTTCAAGCGNAAAAAAAAAAAAACAAACAAACACAAATACTTGTTGCAAAATGCGACAGGGAAACCATAATGAAAAACTATGATACTGGAATTTGAAAGGAATTCTAACATAAACAAGAGTTATAGTTATTCTAGGGATCAACACCTTATCACTCGTGTGATCTCCAGTGAGTATCTTACACTCGAGAACATGAGTGGAGAGTTTTGTCACAACCAATCGTGTCCCATTACACAGACCCATAGCATAGTCCATATTCCTTAAGAGCATGACCGAAGTTCCAAACTTCAAGTACAACTCATGGTTCGGTATTCCAGAACACTTGAATATATAATGCTAGAGGATTCTTACTCTAAATCCATAATAGAGAAGATGAACATTTGGATAGGAACTCCCTTGACAGTCTTCATTTGAATAGGTTGTATGGAAACAATCAATACAATAACATCTACAAAACTATATCATATTAAAAATGCCATAATAGACCTTATTATTGGTTTTATTAAATATATAAAATTTTGAAATAAGAAATAAACAAAAAATTAGGACGTACCAAACAATATGGCTTCATCAAATTTATCAACATTTAAAGTTGTAAAGTTCTTAAAGTCGAAACGATGCATAGGAAAATCGCCCCTCCACTTGTGAATCTTGATTTGGCCATTAATAATGATCCTCTAAGTGCATATCGTCAATTTATAGATTCTAATATTGCTTTCCACATGGTAGTTTTTTAAGATATAATCGACCTTCTTCAATATCGCTGATGGATTGTGGAATATTGACGGACTGATTATGCCAGTAATTGGTCCTCCCTAAAATAGTACATATTCAATAATTTAATACAAAAATCATAAAAGTTGTAGCATAAATCGATGCATACAAATAATAATAATGTAAGAACAAATTACCTCAGAATCTTGAAAGATAATTTCAAGAAAGTTTCGGTAATTGCGCTCGTCTTTAACTCGTTGGAACATGCTAATGATCCGTAGCTTGATAATTGTCCTATAAGTTCTTTTGATATCCTTGATTTTTCCAAAAACAAAATTCATTTTGAATGGTGATGGAAAAGCTGATTCAAAAGTTTGTTTTGTGGGATGTATTATTTGCTACCGATTTTTTGTTCAATGTTGGTGATGTTTATATAGTGATTGTGTAGGTGTCGTCCACCTATATAGTCATTTTCTTTAAAAAAAAATATAGTCGAAATAAGATTTTGAAAATATATTTTCCGGATATTTGGTAATCTAATCAAGGTTTCACATTAAATTGGTTTGATTTTATTTCAAAATTAATTAGATAATGGTTAACACAAAGTTGAAAACCCAACAGATCTTGTTAGAGAAGAAAAAATGATAGGAAATCTAAATTGATTTGAATTCTCCTCACCTAAAAATCTCTAGATTTTTATGGGATATCAGTTGACTTGAAAGAGTTCTATTGGAAGTGTATCACTATTGGTTAAAAATTTCTTTGGAGATTCACACGGACTTTGTTAGGAAATTCAAAGAGGATCATTTTTTGGAAGATAATTATCAGTAAACATTTTTTAATGTGTATTAAGATTTACTTGAAAGAGTTGTACTGAAAATGTATCACTATTATTTGACATAAATGGATTACCAAATTTGAAATGATTTGCATTTGGATTTAAGTTGATTTGGATTTCCTAAATAACTTGATTATGGTTAACATCAACAAAATGTTTATCTGATTTTATAAAGAAAAAAAGGATATGAAACGTGTTGTATATTGTGTTTGTAATACCAAATACTTGAAATTATGTTACATTATGTTTAAACAACATCAATCAATTAATCAATAAGTTAAAAAAAAATAATTCAAAATCGACCTGAAGATTACATATGAGATTGAAGATTACCATATCAACTTGACTTTATTTTTAGCAAAATTAATGGAGTTTGTTTCCAACAAATAGGGTAAGACTTTTGGATTGATCAAACCATCAGATTTTTAAAAGCATTACTCAACGCGATTTTTACCAACAAATATCAATTTGGTTACCAAAATATAAGGATTAGAAAAGATGGTATGTAAGATTTTTTAAAGCTCGAGATTTTGTGTAGATAGTTATCAAAGTTTTTACAGAAAAATGTCCAAAAAATCCAAACAAATTGTCAAGGGTGTTACAAAAAAAAGACTCAATAATCCGAACACCATACCAAATTATCAATTTGGTTACCAAAATACAAGGATTCGAAAAGATGGTATGTAAGATTTTTCAAAGCTCGAAATTTTGAATAAATAATTATCAATGTTGTTAAAAAAACCTAAAAAAAGAAAAATGGCATATCATAAAACAGACATCTCATACCCTCCATAGGAAACAACCATCATTGCTCCCCAACAAATACCCTTTTCCCAAAATCCTTGATCATCCTATAAAGAATAAAGATTTGAATTTTTCCATTTCACAAAAGAAAATTCAGAAAAAAAAAAAGAAAAATCCCATTTTTCTTGTTTAAATACCTCACTCCATAGCAACCCTTCTTTCCTGCATTCTCCTTACTACAGCCACAAAATAAACTCTCTTATTCCTCATGGACCCTTCAAACTCCGTCAATGGCTACTACAATTTTCTGACACGCGGCATAGACGACCTCGAGCGCGTGTTCGGTTCGACCAATTTCATGTCCTTACAATTCTTGCAGAGGGCTTTGTCCCTTTTAAGGTCTGTGCACAATCAGCTGACCCTTTTGGTCCAAAAGCTCCATCTGCCCGTCGGCGAAAAATGGCTCGACGAGTACATGGACGAAAGCTCCAAGCTTTGGGAGGTTTGCCACGTGCTCAAGAATGGAGTCTCGGGCTTGGAGAGCTACTACTCGTCGGGCCTTGGCGCGATTTCCTCGCTCGACGGCCATCGTCGCTTGAGCCCACAGCTTTCTCGTCAGGTAAATGTGAAAGGGAAATGAAAAAAAATGGAATCTTGATATTTTTTTGTATGCTCTGTCAGATGGTGTGTGAACAGGATATCAAAGATTCGATTTTTTTAATGAA